GATTTCCTTGAAAACATTTCCAGCTTTAATTTTATAATGATAATTAATATAATAATTGATTTTAATTGTTAAAATAATAATAAGTGATTTTAATCATTCAAATGATTAACAAATATTAATGATTAATTGATATTTATAAAATAATTATTAATTAAAATATCAATTTATTCTATAAACAAGGAAACTTATTCATAAATGTTACATTCTTTATTTACAGCTCTTTGTATCTACTCAATGTTATTCATGCGTTTTGCCTGGAAAGTACATCCGAGAAATATGCTCTTGTTTGCATGTCACTTTAGTAATGAAGTTTGTCAATTAGGACAGATGGGAAGATTGATAAAATACAGGTACAGTCTTAATCAGTTAAATTTACCATCAATTTGCAAAACCCATGGCTCCTTTCAATCATAAATCTGAATTAGACAATAGTCTCCTTCACAGCTAAGTGTGCCATCTTGAAAGGTAGCCATGCCTTTACATCAAAGCGAGACAACGGTTGAACATGCAATGATATATACCTGTGAATAATTGTCTGTAGTTGTGAAAGGTTTCTATCACTGCTCAATGGTCATCTCGCTTTGATGCAAAGGCACAGCTACATGTACCGTTCAAGATGGAGCAGGGAACGGTGAAACATTTTATCCAACAACATCTTTTGAGGTGTTTATAGTGCACATGTATTAATTAATGCTGAATTTCAAAAAGAATTAATGACCCTAATCTAAAAAAGGGGAAAAAATCAATTTAAGAAAAATTGACCTCTGAACCTTTTACGTCACTCCTTGACTTTCAATGCATTGTGGGTTCAGTTCTTAGAGAAAACAAAAGAAATCCACTATGTTTTGTCACAAATATATCCTGCAATGCATTGTGTATACAATGTCTGATACATAACAAATGCTTCAGACGAGTTTAAGTTGGTAAAMGTTTGCTCCTTGTTGGGCTCCCTGTTGTATTCTCGCCAACCGCATCATCACTTGAATGAACTAGGTTTATTGTTATTCTGTTTCAGGCTGGAGGGTGGTGARCCRYCTCATGCAGTGGAAATAACAGAAAGCTGAAAATGTTTTTACATGTACGTCTCTTACTTTTATTTTTTAATTCACAAGGTTTGACCATCAGCTAAACGCTTAAACCTAASTATGGGGCATCTTGAAAGGTAGTCATGCTTTTGCATCATAGTGAGGCAACTGTTGAGCTTGCAATACTAGAAATTTTCACACATAAAAGACAGTTATTCACAGCTCAAGGCTGTCTTGCTTCAATGCAAAGGCACGGTTACCTTTCAAGATGGCACAGGGAACCCAGTCAGTGTTCATCTGACTAGATCAATGTTTTAAATGGACCAATCAGTCCCTAATGTACTTCACTAGTTGCTGGAAAATACAAGCAATTATAACTATTTCATTATTTATTTTTTTCCTTATTTGAACTATTTAATGCAACTTGGAGTCAAAAACAGCGAAAGGTCTGCTTGCAGGTCATCGTGACAGCTTTCAAACTGGTTTCTCCTCCATTAATGATAAATAATATACCACAAAAACTTTTCCTATTATTTGTGCCAGAATGTCTTACCCAACTTATTGAATTACAAACATCAAAACAAAGAGAAACTCTAGTGATTAGAGTAATCTAAATTGTAGTGAATATCTTTGTTTTCAGCTGTTTAATTGAGTTAAGTCATTAAACCTGTGAAAGAAAAATTTAATATTTCATTGTGATAGTTAAATAGACAAAAGAAAACAATGTAATTAGAGTGTATTAAGATTTATTAATTAGTGTAATATCTATTTCACAAGTTTAATGGCTTCACTCTAGTCTAGTACTATAYTGTGTGATATTTCGCACTATTTGGTTTAGTACATTTTCATGCTTTGTGTTTGAACTCTAGAGTTAAATTGCTTTGAAAGTATACATTCAATGATATCAATACTTAACTAGAATTTTATCATAATTTAACCTGTGATAGTATATCTATTTAGGCATGTTGAGGGCCATGGTTCACTGGCATTCATTTTTTTCTTAAAAGTTTTTATTGTTGTTGTTGTTGTTTGTTTATATTGGAACAAAAATACATCATAAATGAGCAAAAAAGTACTCTTTTTTAAATATTTTTGCTCTATAAATGTAATTTATAAATTTCAAACTTAATTATGCTGATAAATGGATGGATTGTGATTGGATATAATTTTCAAGTYATTTCGTTTTCCATGTACATGTATGAAAAAAACTACAATATCTATAACAGCACTTTGAAAGCTGGTAGACCATGGCCCTTTGAGAGACTGAATTTCCACAATTTTTCATTTTTTCATTACAAGCATTTTTCAGGTAATTTAATTACTGCAGCACTCACTTGTTTAAACAGTGTCATATTTAAAGATATCATAAGCAAAGAAGGCAATTTGTACAGACATTTATTGAAATGTACTTCACTTKAGTTTGCTTCAAAATATTTTCTGAGTGAGATTATCTAAAACTACACCATTTGTGGAAAATTTGACATTTTCGTAATATGTATAAAATATTTACCAGAATTAKTAGTTGTTCAAAGGTTTTAATAAAGTATGTATAGATGATCGAGTTGAAAGTTTGATATTTTCGAATTGTTCATTTTTATTTGGAGTAAAGGGATTTTTATGTAGTACCTTACACGCTC